GGGGGGGTGGGGGGGAAGTTGTGGATGAGAGGGAGGAGGAAGGGTGGCGGCGGAAGGGGTGGAGGAGGGAGGAGAGGTAGGATGATGAGGCTGAGGGGATGGTGGCGGGTTTGAGGGTGGAGGCGTAGACGGTGTCGACGGTTGGGTTGATGCGGCATGCGACGGGGTCGTAGGGGTTGATGATGTTGTAGATGTTGTCTACGGCGATACAGCCATAGGTGCCTTGGTCGCCTGCGACGCCGGGCGTGGCGTACGAGTCTGCGCCTGGCTTCTCCTTGTCCCGGCGCGGGAGGAGGTTTGCGTTCTTCATGAGGAGGAAGAGGCCGACGGGGCTGCCGCAGACGAAGAGGTGGGTCGTGTTGAAGATGAAGCTGTCTTTTGGGAGGTCGGCTTCGGGGAAGGAGGGGTCGCTGAATTGGCGGTCCACGTAGGTCGGTTGTTGGCTGAGAATGTCAATCGCCATTACGGAGCCGAGCGAGTGGGCGATGAGGTGCACGCGTCCATAGTCTGCGAAGCCGGGATTGTTGGCGCACCAGAGGCGGTAGATTCGGTTGGCTTCTTGGATGCAGGCGGCAATCATCTTTGGATTATGCTCGGGGGAGAGGTAGTAGGGTATGTCGAGCATCACGTCGCTGACGATTCCCCGGACAGAGGGTAGGGTGTCGGGGGTGATGTCTTTGAGCGTGTATTTGTTCGCCGAAGGATCTTCGGGCTCTTCAACTTCGGTTGCATCCACCTCGAGAGAGACACGATGGCGCCAGTTGACCTTGACTGCGTTAGACGACTGGTTTGCTGTGAACAAAGATCAAAAGCTGACTTACAGGCAGACACATGACACCCCCCATGTCCTCTCGGAGATGGCGTTTGACATCTGGCGTTCCAAGCTCGACATTCATCTCCCTTCTGAATGCATTCATTGCATGCGTAAAGTGAAACGTCTCCATGCGCTCCGATAGCTTTTGTCCAATTCCATGAATGACCAGCACCAGATCCGTGACCTTTGGCCGCTCTGATTGTGCAAGATCTGGATCAGACTCCTGCCTTTTGTACTGGGGCGCTCCCGCTTGGGCAGAGGAGACGCCTTCACGGGCTGCCTGTGCTTTGGCCGTATTCTTGCTCGGATGTAGCCGATCCCATGTCGCTTGATCAAATCCACGCACAACATGGACGCCGATAGCCCGGCCTTTACGAATATAGTTTGCCAGTGGCCGTCTTCCGTAGTAGTCCGACGGCTGCAATGCCGGCTTCAAAATGTATGCCTCAGTCTCCGTAGCGTAGATGACACCAGCCTTGAGGTACAGGCGTTTCCGACCGTCGGCGCCATATTCCAGATCGCCCGCAGCCTTGTGATCCGGGCCTCCTGGGCCCGTGGAAATATCTATCAAGTCGCACGCATTCTCCACTATTTCTTTCCGTTCTTTCTCCGGATCCTCATCGTCTTCCGGCAGCGTATTCTGAACGAGGCCAGTCGATTGCATGTCCTGCAAAGTCGATTTTCGGTTCTCCGGCCTCGCTCGCTTCTCCGGCCAAAGGGTGTGCAGAATCTTCATCTCGCCAAACGCACCGACTTGCACAGCGCTATTCAGCTCGTCCTTCCAAGTCTGCGTCCACGGCCGCATCTCCAGATAGCCAGCCTCGAGCATATTCGCGACCTCCACCTCCACAGGCATCATGCTGTTCTTGTAGAACCAGGTGCCTCTGACAATCTGTGCCACGTCGCTGAGCGGAGACCAGTATATCGGCTCCATGCGTATTGACTCTGCGTCCATGACAACATGATGCAGCCTCGACACTCCCACGGGCACTTTTGCACATGGCCCCTGTCTTGTCCTTGCTGCTTTCCTCGCAGGTTGTTTGTCCTTGTTTCCAGACAGAGCAGGCTCCATGTCATCGTCCCAGCTGTAGCTATCCTGCTCCGACATGCCCGGCCGAGGGCGCCCCTCGACAGAGGCCGGTTGCCATGCCTTGGGCACTTGTCCACGGGATGGCGCTCGAATGAATGGTGTACCGGTCGTGGTGGGTGCGAGCGGAGATATCTGGCCTGCTTCGAAGCCTCGAAATGAGGCGAATGCTGACGGGCCGGGCCTGCCACCACTCGACCCTGGCCTCTTCCTATCCAACAGATCCGCAGACTTGGAGTATTGGCCTCTACTTGACGACCTTGCCAAGGAGGGGATATCCTTTCCTTGGGAAGAGCCTTCGTCGCTCGATGAGCTGCCACCTCGCTTCCTCTTGAGTCGCTCGACTGCCGGGTTGGTAGGCGTACCTCGGCCTGCACCGTCCTTCTCGCCCAGCTCCTTGTTGTGCTTGAGAATCTTCTTTCTCAGGGCCAGCCATGATTCATTGATCGCGTTGTTATCGTATTGGGAGAAGGGCCGTGGAGGCACTCGTTTGCTCGTGGCGGCGCCCGTCGGTGGCGGCGGAAGCGGAGAGAGAGGGTCGTCGATGGCAAGGGGCGAAGTATAAAAGTAGCGAACGGGTATAGGTGGTGGCGCCTCGGTCGAGTGCAGTACTTGACGGATGTACTGGTTGGCCTGGGCGGACAGCGCTGGTTCATCATGGCCTGCCATGTTTGGCGGTCGACGGTCATGCGTGGGCGTTTGGTGGTCAACCCTCCCGCGCAGCTGTCCAGCACTTGCCCGTCCACGTAGACTTGGTCGTCCACGTAGTCTTCCAGCGCTCAACCCTCTCGCCAGACCACACCTCACCCAAGTCCCAACCCTCGCCTTTCCCAAAGCCCACTACCCCCCCAATCACAATCACAAAACACGTCAACCACCCACCGCGTAACACACCCACCCCGTTGTCCGACCACTCAACTCCAATCTCCAGTCTCCAGTCTCTAGTCCCTAGTTCCCAGCCAGATCCCCCCAGCAAAGTTACCCCGTAGTATTCTTCTCCTTCCTTCCTTCCTTCCTTCCCTTCCCTTCCCTCTCGTTCACTCACTCAATCACTCAATCCCTCAGAAATCAAACACAGCACATACACACACGCACACACGCATAGGTAACGTTGCGCGCGCGCCCTGAGTTTCTCTTTTGACTTCTTTTCTGGGGGGTGGTGGTGGTGGTGTCATGTCATGCTTACTGTTTAGGGGTGCCGCGGGTCTGACGCAACCTTTGCGCTAGGGTGTAGCTACTCCTAGAGTAGTAGGGTAGGTATGCCAAGGGTTTGTGGCAACTGGGCTTCTCTTCCTTTTCGAGGCATGTGAGATCGACATACTGGTGCATGGGTACTCTACCGGTATGTATTACAAAGGCCGGTAACAAAGATGCTATTCTTTCCGCCACCGTATCTGGGCAACACCAGCAGGAAGGACAGGGAGAAAAGGAAACAAGATATATGCGCACAATTTTTTTTTTGATGAAATAGCTTGTTTGGTTGATTTTACATTCGATACTCAAGAGAATTGGTACCATCGCCAAGTTTCCTTTGGCTGGGCTATACACAATTTTTCCACGTCGCACAAGGCAAACACACTACAACCCATTCATTGCTTAACCAAACAGAACATCGCCCAGGCGAATCGACACAGTCTTGGTCTGCAAGTAGCCGTCCAGCGCCGCCTCGCCCAACTCGCGGCCGATACCAGACTCCTTGTAGCCACCGAATGGCAATTGCCAGTGAAGCGTGTTGTACGTGTTGACCCACACCGTTCCGGCACGGAGTGCATTGGCAACCTCAATGGCCGTGTTGAGGTTGTTGGTGTGCACGGCGGCAGCCAGTCCGTACGTGCTGTTGTTTCCAATCTGGACCACCTCGGCCTTGGTCTTGAACTTGGAGACTGTGCAGACGGGGCCAAAGATTTCTTCTTGTTGAATCTTCATGTCTTCCGTCACGTTGGAGAAGATGGTGGGCTCGATGAAGTAGCCCTTGTCGCCCTTGCGCTTGCCGCCCGTCACGAGCGTGGCGCCAGACTTCTTGCCTTCCTCAATATAGCTGGTGTTTGTATGAGCAATCCATGTCTTCGTACTAGGCGTCTAGAAAATTCACTTACCCCATGATGCGGTCGAATTGAAGTTGCGATACCTGGGGTCCCTGGAAGGTGTCCTTGTGGAAGGGGTCACCGACAGTGTTCTGTGCAGCGCGTTCCCTGAATCGCTCGAGGAACTTGTCGTAGATGCTCTCCTCTACGTAGACACGAGAACCGGCACAGCAAGCCTGTCCGTGGTTGAAGTAGATGCCGAAGTTGACCCAGTTGATGGCCGCATCCAAGTCGGCGTCGGCAAAGACAATGTTGGGGCTCTTGCCACCCAGTTCGAGGGTGACCTTCTTCAGGTTGGATCCAGCAGCAGCCTTCATGATCTGGCGACCGACCACAGTCGAGCCGGTAAAGGCAATCTTGTCAATGTCCATGTGCGAGGACATGGCGGCACCGGCAACCTTTCCGAAACCCGAGATGACGTTGATGACACCCGGTGGGAAACCGGCCTTCTGGATGAGCGTGCAGGCAACAAGGGCAGAGAGAGGGGTTTGCTCGGCCGTCTTGAGGACGACGGTGTTACCGCAAGCAATGGCAGGGCCAATCTTCCATGCCCACATGAGGAGGGGGAAGTTCCATGGGATAATCTGACCGCAGACACCAATCTGTTCAACGTTAGTCCTGTTCCCGCGCGGTCAGGAAGTGGGGGGTCAAAAGGGGTTACTGACGGGCTCCTTGCGGATGTAGTTGAAGTGATCGGGTGCCGTGTCGACGACCTTGCCCTCAATCTTGTCGGCCCATCCTCCAAAGTACCTCAAGCAACCAGCGCAGCCAGGGATATCGGCGGTCATGGCCATGGAGTAGGCCTTTCCGTTGTCGAGAGCCTCGACAGCGGCGAGAAGGGAGGCGTTCTCCTCAAAGAGCTCGGCGAGCTTGACCAGGAGCTTGCCCCGGTTCTCTGGGGTCTCCCTCCGCCATGGGCCGTTGAAGGCTTTGCGGGCGGCGGCGACGGCGATGTCGACATCCTTCTCGGTGGCCTCGTAGACCGAGGTGATGACTTCCTCGTTGGTGGGGTTGATGACATCGAACGTCTTGCCATCGACTGACTTGACGAACTCATTGTTGATGAAGCTGGAGGAGGCAGTGGTCAGTCTGTGAGGCGAAGAAAAGACAATGCTCGTCCCATTGAATGGAGGGGTAGTTTCAATTCAAGGATGGACAAGGTCGAACAAGTGAAGGAGACCAAGCAGACTTACAGTCCAGTGGGCTGCTCATACTCGCCCGTCTGAGGGGTGCTAAGCTTGGTTGACACCATCTTGTCTGTTATGAGAGAAAAGCAAGCGGGGTATCAGAAGAGGAAGCAGACGAAGACGGAGACGGAGACGGAGACGGAGACGGAGAAGAAGAAGAAGAAGAAAAGGAGGGAGAATAAGAGGGGTCTGGTGGGAAGCGGGGTAATGCGGACCGGGATATCTTAAGTAGTCTACGTCGTCACAGCACGAACGGGCATGGTATGGATTGTATCCAACTGGTCCTCCTCCGCTCCGCTCCCCCCAGAACCGCATAGGTGCGAGGAAGATCAGGATCGGGCCAGCGAGAAAAAAAAGCCTCGGCCATGAGGAAGCCCCGTCCCCATCATTGTGCTCATCGGCCTATCGCATCTACGCTGTGGGTCGAGGGGCGGCAGCGGTTTGGAGCAGCAACGGGAGGTGTTGCCCCGCCCGGGGCTGGCCATTGGAAGACTTGGAGAGTGGAGAGACTTGGAGAGACTAGAGTAGTAGTACTTTATACTATGACTCTCCATCTGCCTGTCAGGCTGAGGTGGCAAGCTGTGCTGTGGCAAAGGCTAGGCGGTCTCCGGGACTCTTGCTACTACTCCTACCCCCTCCCCCGCAGTTGCCGTGTGTGTGTGTGTGTGGGCAGGAGACACAACACAACACACGCCTTGGACAGCCGCAGCTAACCCGGCGAACCATCCAATGACCACGACAAGTCCGCCGCGACTTGGCCTTCCACATGCATGGCTGTGTCCAGCAGTACTAGTCGATGCAGCCTGTCTTGTCTAGGACAGTGAAGGAGAATCGTCTTTCGTTGATCGCTACTCTCCGTGCGAACATCTCCTTCCTCCAAGCACACCACCAGCCAAGCCCCCCCCCCCTCTTCCTTTTCCATCTCGGGAACTCTCTGTGCCCTTCTCCTACCGCTGCACAACCCACCCAGCCTACAAGCCCCACCGCACTAACCCCAAACAAGCCACCCGCCCACTGCCCTCGGCTTCCTTTCGAGCGAGCACTCGGTCCCACTTCTCCACGACGAGCAACCCACAAAGAGCATCAACAGCGGGCAAAAGTCGCAGATTCGGAGATGCCGCAGCTAGAGCCATGTTCCTCACCAGCGCATGCACCAGTATAAAAACCCATGCCAATCCCCACGTCGCCAGCGCGCTGACATGCATCACCAACCTCCCCTCGCCCCTACATAGAAGACAGTATGTACTCTATGTCTGGCAGGCTGAGTACCGTATCCATGCATGCATGTAGGCATCCATGTACAGACCTACCTCGCCATCCCATCCATCCCATCCATCCGATCCCGCAACAACCCCCATCGGACGAGCGCGCCACCGCTCCATGAACCCAGCACCAGCACGCGCTACCCCATACTCTAGCCAGCCCATGAAATCGCGGGCCAAAGGCACGGAACAGGGTCCCGGGGAAAAGGTTAGATTCCACACATCCCATTCCACTCCTACCCGTAACCACTTCCTGGTCTGCGTTTTCCACGTAAAGTTTTCGCTTCGTCTTGCTTGGTTTCGTGGTTTCTACATCATCCACAATACCTACCATCACACTGACATACTGACTGCCTACCACCATTGGCGACCCCCCCCCCCCCATCCCGAGTTGTCTGGGAGACACCTGTTTGGGACTAGTGGATGGTCTAAATCTACCTAGCCACCTTGGCTCTTCTCCCATAGATTCTTCAATCCATACTTTCTCATCACATCCGGTTTCGTGGTTGTCTTTTCGCACAAAAGGATGTACCTACTGGAAGACGGTACGGCAGACGACAGGGTCTGGGCCTGTGTCCGTTGACCCAGTGGCTGGGGTGGAGTGGGGGTGGAACGAGGTGGTGTGATTGTTGATCGCTGCCTTGCTCCCTTGATGATGATGGTCGCGGATAAAGCTGGCGGATAGAAACGGCTTTGTACGACACAGTAACAGTGCATGCGCAAGAGGCAACCCAAGCACAAGTTAGAGTATAAGCCTGTGAGGATTTCAAAGATCATGCTGGAGGTGGTCAGGTAGGTGAATGTACGTGTGTATGTGTACCCATGTATCTGTATCTGTAGGAGCGAGCATAACGCATTGGTTAGGCAGCTACCTACCTACCTACCTAGCTACCTAGCTACCTACCTACCTACCTACCTAGTTGACATTATAAACTCGACTGCTACACCTACAGGCCCTCATGCCTACATGGCAAGAGTCTATACATGGCAAATACTCTGAACCTAGCTCAAAGGATCGTCAGACATCTCAACGCACCGCACCGCACCGCATCGCACGCCTCGGCCTTGGCCCATGCGTTTCCAAGACAGAGTAGACCGCTCACCAAACATAGAGACCAACACACATACAGCAGGCACCCGGCATCACGGCCTATCAAAACACTACACACACATCCAATCACTGCATCTCCATGATTCGCACTCGACAAACTCAATTGGCCCAACATTTCATATAGTGTCCATGTGCGCACCAATATCTGATCTGCAGCCGTTGCTGACTTCAGACTGCATAACATCCCATGAGACTCAAAAGTCCATCAACCGTGAAAAGTGTGCAGACTGCAGTCCTCCCCCGTAAAGAACACTTTGGCAACCCCAGATCCACTCAAGACCGTAAATGTGTATGCCGAGAAAGTCGGTGCCATGACAAGAAAAAAAAAGAATCCCAGCCCAGCTGCCAAGTCGTTCCAATTTAGAGAAACACCAGATTAAAAGTGGAAGGAAAATGCATCATGGGTGCCTTCCGAAACACCAGTCACCTCGGACGCTTACAGCATCTCGTCGTCCATGGCTGTATCTCCGCCAGCGGCTGCAGGTGCAACGTCGCCGCTACCGGTAGCCGTGTTGGCCTCGCCATTGGGGAAGTAGTCAGCCATCTCGGCATCGAGCTCCTCAACCGTCTTCTTCTTGGGACGAGCATCGCGGCCTCCACGGCCCTTTCCACGACCACGAGCTTCTCCACGTCCGCGAGCAGCAGCAGGAGCAGTCTTGCCGGCAGTAGCAGGCTTGGGCTTGTCTTTCTTGGCTTGACTGGGTTCCGTTAGTGGCACATCGCCAGGAGAGAGTAATGACAGCAACTTACGTGACGCGGTCTGCGAGGGAAGGCTTGCTCGTGGCAGCTGGCAGCTTATCTGCACTGACAAGCATCTCGACGCGAACTGGGCGGCCGTCGATCTTGACACCATCCAATGCAGCAGTGGCCTTTGAGGCTTGCTCATGTTTGTTGAAGATGATGGTTGCGCTGCCTAAGCTGCGACCGTTGGGTCCGTACTGCAAGAGAATCTTTTTGGGTCGGCCTACACCAACTGCGTTGATGAAGTAGTCCTAGAGGTGTATTAGTGGCCATGGTAGGTAAGGTTTTAAATACGAAGTCCGCGAGTCCAGAAGCGGGAGTAGGCTGCCATCGGTTCCATATGCGCGCGTTCGTAAGGCGTTGCTCGAAAAGTGGGAATCAACATCCAGACCAGAGAACATAAAGTTCGGTGATGCGGGGCAAACTCAGCGCGAGGATGGTGTGGTACATGTACTGTAGCCACCGTAGCTTGCTGCGACTCAGTCTTGAGATTGTTGCGCCTGTGCCCCTCTGCTAATCGGCAGGCTCTCAGTGACTGGAAGCTAGGAATGCTTCTCGTGGCGTTTCAGCCGGCTTGAGTTGCGCGACGTGGCCAGGAAACCACTCGCTGGACCACAATCGCATGGGTCAATACTACTGAGGTGTAGATTGTGAACATTGATTTCCCACTTTCGTCTTGGCAGCACGCTCGGAATGTTCGCATGCTGCAAGTCGTATACCAGTCATGTGCGCCCAACACAGACTTTGGCGTGACTGTAATGCTAGACATGACGATACATCCGTACGTAAAGGCAGAGAGGTGGGCTTGTTTCCGTGGATCGGACTCGTAATGGCTCGCAAACGCGACGTAACACTTGGCTCAAAGACCTGCATTTGTCAGACATACCTGAAGTTGGCCTTGCTCGACATCCAGTGGCTGCGAAAGGTCAGTGAACGGCTGGCAAGATAGGTCAAGTCAAGTTAACGTACCAAATTCGATACCATGATCTTGGTCTCTCCGGCGAGGGTTGCAGCTGGCGCTGTGGGTGCAGCCTTGGCCTGCTTGTTCTGTCGAGTGTTCTTGGCGACACCGCCGACTGGTGCAGCGGCAGCGGCAGGGCGGCCAGAGTTGGACTTGCGACCACCGCGGCCACGGCGACCGGTCGTGTTCTTGCTGGTCTTGAGGATCTCGTCCAGGCTGAGCTCCATCTTATTGGACATGGTGACGAGTTTGGAGGCGATGAGACTTGTTGGTGTTGGATGAGAGGCGAAAGTGGGCAGGAGTCGAGTGGGCAAAGTGTGAGCAGCGGGGGCTTCTGTTTCTTTGATGAAGGCGCGACAGGTCGTGTCGGGCGCGATGAGGATAAAGGCGCGTTGGATGGGGCAGAGCGCGTCGCAGCTTGAGGTGCTGAGGGGGCGTATAGGGTCTACCTAGAAAGGCTGACGCAGGAGTAGAGTGTGGAGCGCTGTTTGGTAACTTGTTTCTTCTCAAATCAGCGCGAATTCTTTCAGTTTTGGTTGTCTTGTGTTGCGCTGCAAGCTGCTGTGGTGGTGGAGGAAAGGAGTGAGAGGGCGAGGAGGCAGTAGAACTAGAACAATCGCGCAGGCCCCCGCCAAGACACGCACGCCAAGACGTGCACAGCCTCGTCATCGGTGATTGGCGGGTGTCTAGGCGGCGGGTGGGTCGTGCGGCGCACCTGGGGGCCGCGACTGCCCAAAGGTGACGGTAGCTGCTGCCACTTCGAGGTACAGCGAGCATGGGCCGATAGCAGTATGGCAGTCACTCCGGTAAGCTGTGATGATAATGGCGATGACGAGGGTGAAGGCGATGGAGGGATGGTGACCATGATGCTCATCATCACCAGACTTCATCATGGCATGGCTAACACGCGACAAGTGGCAGTTCAAGTTCTTCGACGTCTCACAGGTCAAGCTCCCCGATGACGACTCCAGCTCCAACACCTTCCTCTCCGAGGTATGATCATGACCCAAAAAGGAGTTGCGCAACTGCTTAAGATTCTCTAGATTGGAAACATTACGTGTATAGTCTCAGGATCTGAGAGCATTTTCTCGGGCAGTGCAGATGGAACCGTCCGCATTGTGTCGCAGGCCTTCAAGGTCGTGCGCGCATTCAAGGCCTACGACGCAGGCGCAATTACCCACATGAAGCAGATCGAGGGAACATCGCTGCTAGTCACCATTGCCGAAGATCTCTCTGACGAACCTGTGCTGAAAGTATGGGCTCTCGACAAGTTGGAGAAGAAGACGGGCATGCCGCGATGTCAGAGTACTCTCACGGTTCACAACGGCCGCAAGCAGTTCCCCATATCAGCTTTCGCAGCCTTGGACGACTTGTCGCAGCTTGCTGTCGGGTTTGCAAATGGCGCAGTCACAGTCGTAAGAGGCGACCTGATTCACGATCGTGGAGCGAGACAACGAACAGTATTCGAATCGGAAGAGCCCATTACTGGCATCGAGCTCCGTCAGGGAAGCATCACCACCCTCTATATCGCAACGACCGCACGCATATTGACTCTCGTCATATCTGGAAGAGGACAAGGGCAGCCGGCAAAGTCATTAGACGAGTATGGCTGCAGTGTCGGCTGTATGGCTGTAGATAAAACAACTCGAGACGTTGTGGTGGCGCGAAACGACGCTATTTACTACTACGGTCAGCATGGAAGGGGCCCGCCATATACATACGAAGGAGAGAAGAAGTTGATATCGACCTACAAAGACTACGTTGTAATTGTAGCGCCACCCAAGACCAACGCAATGCCTAGGTCGAATCCACTCAGAACTTTTGGTGTTGGCGCGACGGACGATGTCTTCAATACGTCCACCTTCACACTGCTCAATACCGAGCTTCGTTTTGTGGCCCATCAAGAGCAATTAACGTCGCAGGTCAAGGCGATCGTGTCGGAGTGGGGCGATTTGTTTGTCTTCACCATCGATGGAAAGGTACGATGATTTTGGCAACCATGTTATTCTAAAGCTTACATAGACTAGATTTTCAAGTATCACGAGAAGCCATTTGCACAGAAGCTAGACATTCTGTACCAGCGCAATCTTTATGTTCTTGCCATCAACCTGGCACAGAAGGCCGGCCTCGATTCTTCACAACAAAATGTCATTTTGAGAAAGTTTGGCGACTACTTGTACTCAAAACAAGACTACGATACCGCCATGCAGCAGTACCTGAAGGCGATTGACAACACAGAGCCTTCACAGGTCATTCGGAAGGCTAGTCGATCTCATGCAACACTTGAACAGGCATGATTAGTTAACCTCTTCTAGTTCTTGGATACACAACGCATCCACAACTTGATCGAATACCTTGAAGAGCTTCACGATCATCACAAGGCCACATCTGATCACACCACTCTTCTCCTCAATTGCTACGCCAAACTCAAGGATGTGGAGAAGCTTGAGGAGTTTATAAAATCGCCGGATGATCTCAAATTTGATCTAGATACTGCCATTTCCATGTGCAGACAGGGTGGCTACTACGACCAGGCAGCTTTCCTAGCACGAAAACACGGCGAGCATGAGTTGGTAGTGGATGTACTGATAGAAGACTCGCATCGTTTCGCGGAAGCTTTGGCCTACATTTGGCGATTAGAACCAGAGGTGGCTTACTATAACCTCATGAAGTACGCAACGGTGCTCCTGCAACATGTGCCAAAGGACACTACCCAACTATTCATCGACTACTATACCGCCAGCTTCCGCCCCAAGAAAGATGCTATCATCATTCCTGATGCTCCGTCTTCTGGTGGAGGTGGTGGAATTGGCATGGGGCTTGGTGTGGCTTCGAGCGCTGTCCAGAATCTTGCTGCATTGCTACCACTACCCTACATGAACTCGAATGCATTGGCTTCACCTCCAAATGGAGAGCAAAAAGGCATCATGAGTCAAGCTCAAATCATCGAAACGAACACAGATGAGCCAGCGCCAGAGTACAAAGTGCCTAAGCCACGCACGGCGTTCTCAGCCTTTGTCGATCACCCACAAGAATTCATCGTCTTTCTCGAGGCGTGCATCAAATCGGAGAATATGCGCGAGGACGATAGAGTCGATCTTTACACTACACTTTTCGGCATGTACCTACACACAGCGTCATCGAAGAAAGATGGTGAGCGACAAGAATGGGAGAACAAAGCAAAGAAACTGGTAGAAGGCAAGGATAAACCAATCGATACCTCCAATGTACTCCTCCTTTCACATCTTTCCGACTTTCGCGACGGTGCCATTCTGGTCCGCGAACAACAAGGCCTTTACTTCGACATCTTCCGCTCCTTCACTGCCGCAAAAGATACCCAAGGCGCCATCCGCGCACTTCGAAAATACGGCCCAGAAGAACCCGCCCTCTATCCCGCAGCTCTTGCCTACTTTACCTCCTCCTCCGAGATCCTCTCCGAAGCTGGCGATGAGCTCGACTCCGTCTTAAAACGCATTGACGAAGACGGCCTCATGGCGCCCCTACAAGTCATTCAAACCCTCTCTACGAACGGCTTTGCAACAATGGGCATGATAAAATCCTACCTCAGCGCCACCATCGAGCGCGAACGCGAAGAGATTGCGCAAAACCGCCGTACAATCGAAACCTTCCGCGCCGACACGGAGACCAAGAAGATGGAGCTCGCCAATCTCAACAGCAAACCCGTCATCTTCCAGACGTCGCGCTGCCAGATTTGCAGCAAGCCATTGGAACTACCGGTAGTGCACTTTTTGTGCAAACATAGCTTCCACCAGAGCTGTCTGAGTACGGACGAGGATGTGCATGATGCCGAAGTCGAGTGCCCGCTTTGTAGTGCGAATAATGCAACAGTCAAGGCGATCCGGCGTGCACAGTTGGAGAGCGCAAATAGGCATGATTTGTTCCAGGATGCGTTGAAGAGGGGGAAAGATGGGTTTGCGGTAATTAGTGAGTGGTTTGGGAGAGGGGTGATGGGGGTCGGTGGCACCGATTAGGCATTCGATACCTCTATCTGTCGTGTTTTTGTGCATGGATACGTGGGATAATGGGTTACAAAGCGAGCGTGTCGAAAATACATTCATCTGTTGCTCTTTCTGTGCTACTGGGCTGACATGGCTTGGCGCCGTTGACTTCTGGGTTCCCATGCTTTCTGGCCTCGTGGTGCTATCGCTATGGCTACTCCACTCGCTGCGCTGTGTAGATCCACGTATGGCTTTCATGCTAATAAACCACATGATGTAGACCAAGATTAGGCATGATCCGCCTGCACAGGCAGTCTCAAACGCAAAGTTCTGGCAATGCAAAATGTACAAGCATAATAAAGCACGTCCACATGCTGTACGACATGTGACCCATGGGCCGTCGACGTGGCAGTTTGGGTAACTGGGCTGGGATCATGGGACTGAGAGGCTGGGAGGGGTTGTTGCTGTGATGATTGAGTGTGAAGTCTTGGTTTGATTTTGCTGGTATGTCTGCATGTGTATTGTGGGATCTGTATGGTGAGTTAGAATCATGAAAGTATTAAGAGAAAGAGGTAGGGATTTGCGGGTACACTTATGTCTGTACCACATGTACCATATGGGATGTGTATGCATTTCAGATTCCCATACCTCTCGTATGCGGAAAGGTCAGCATGCACGGCACGGAACCATGTGCGCTGATTATGCAACCGGGAACTGGGACTTGGTGAGATTGGGTATTCAAAATGCCCCGATTGAGGTTTCAAATCGCACATCTTGCTTTTCTTAGGGCCTAGGCTTCCAATCCAAAAACGATGATCATGCCAGACGGAGCCCGCTCCTACAGCGCTCGCCAATACCGGTATGGATGCATGCATAAGAAATCGCCTGATCGGTGCGGCAGGCCTGAACCCTTGCTTCCGCGACATATTGTGAGGCGAAAGAGATATGATTGGCTTATTGTACTTACACTGTGGTTTTGAGTCTTGCTTGAGGAGCTGTGGATGTGTGGCGGTTTCGCCTTTGCAATTCGCATGATGTTGAGACGTTCTTCCGTGAGAGGTGCGATGGTGGGGCGGGGCTGGGGATGTTGCTAAGGTCTTAATGCGGGTAACTTATCCACGTTTGCAATGAGCAGTCATCGCTAAGTTTGCGAGCATGCATCATCAGGAGATCTTCCTAAGGGGGGGAGGGGGGGAGGCTTGGGCATATAGAGGGCGGTGTAAATCTTGTAAGTGCTCCTCTAGGTCCAGACTGTTGGGAATTCTGGGATCTTGATCTTTGACAATGGAACTTGGTATTCGAAACGTATGATTGTCGCCGTTTTTCTTTCTCCAAGAAGAGGCTAACTGCATATTTTGATGGAGAAGTGTTCACAAGAGAAGGTATCATGGGATGCTCGTTGGTAGCTGTGAGGGTCCTTCAGGCCTACAGGCTGGGCGGAAACCAAACCCACATTGGGCAGCGCTGGACATATTGGCTCCACTATATTCATGCTATGGAGTGGCGTGATTAGTGGGAACAGAGTTTACAGTGAGTGGTTAGGCATGGCCGTCTACAAGATATACCGTTTTGGCATTCTTGGGGCGTTCGTGGCAAAGTCAAATCTCAACGGATGCTTCCAGAGTCCAGACATGCAGTAAATCAGGGGGACGATTCTGATACAGACCGCTATCTATCGGGGCTGTAAAGAGCCCGTGTTTGTGATGGATGGAGGGACGACACAGCCTTTCCCGTGAGGTAACAACCCTACCTGCAAGTTATTGTAGTCCAGGAAACCCTCCCCACAAGTAAGTTTCCCATGATTTCGTCCTTACAAGAAGAGCTCGAAGAGAGGATGGATACTTAGACCGTTCGCGAAGATCTATTCACGTTAAGAGAGCGCGAAGTGGTATCGAAGACACAGCTTTATGGCGTTAGGTACTGTCTATGTATCCAAGTTACTCAGAGTCACGCCCCGCCAAGCATCCTCGATTCCCTGAAATGCCACTGAGATTTCCAGTTCACAGACGCTGAATGTATCGAAGCAGCAACTCGCCTGCATTACTCTTGAGTTTTTCATCTCATGGCCAGGCCTCACCGGGTGTGTCCAGAGGAAGGACGGTCAATTGGATATGCCCTGGTAAGCCTCTTCTTCGAGGTTGACGGTGACTCACAATCCAGCCAGCCTTGCTGTTTTGAAGGAGACCATTGTGTCTGTCAACTGTCGGAATAATGACAATCTTCAGGTGATCTGCCAGGTCTCTTCCTAAACCCTCTTCACGTCGCTTGGACGGGAGTCTTTCGACTCAGTGGCTAGCCTGCTTGCAGCTTCACCCTCAGCTTCACCCTCACCGTATCGATTCACGAGAAGGAACATATATGGCGTCTTGTTCTTGGCCTGATGTCAAGGTAAGCATCGCACCTTGTATGTATGAGCTTAGGCCAGATCTAAGTTAACGTTAAGACGGCCCGGCCTCTTCCACGTGTCGGTACCATGCTCCGGCAGGGCACGGCCTAGCGCACACACGACTCAAGGCCAACTTCGGCGCGTCGACCTCATTCCTCCCTCTCGAGATACTCTGGGGCGCCCCTTTTACTGCGGATGTACACTAGCGTTCACAGCTCGAACGCCTGGTCTTGATCAAAAACAGACTGAGGTTATGAGGCGCGACTTCGCATCAACACCATGCTTCGGAAGCTGACCCAAGCTTTTCAAATGTCGATGGCAAGAATGCCTGACGTTTCTTAATATGAAATTCGTCTACGTATAAGGACCCCCACAACGCCCGGAAACCCAAAAAATGCCAGAAAAATGAAAGCGAAAGGCACAAGGAATTCGCGAAGTGCTATGCGGATCGGCCGCCACTTGAAGGCAACGATATGTTGTATATCGTCGAAGAGGTATATAAGAGCTATGCTAGTCGGCCGTGATGGTGCATTGGAAGGGGATTGTGTACGGAAAGAAAGTAAGGTGGACAATGAATACCTTTTTCGGAGGGGAAGACCGTACGATTCGATATGCAGCAAGCACCCCAGATGGGCGCAACAGGAGACAAGAGTATATGCTCATTAAGAAAAGTTCTGGGGATCTTGCCAGCCCGCCTCAACGTACGAATAGTTACGTGGCGGTGGTGTCACGCAGCGACCAACTCCAAGGAGATCTTGGTCTTGGCTAAGTCTACTGGATTCAACGCCTTCGGCATAGGTCGTCCTCCAAAGACCTTCCATTCCCGTATAAGATGACTCAGGCTCAACCTCAATCTTTTGATCAGGCTTTGTAGATCGCTTCTTAGTCTGTGGGGTATTTTCCTTGCTCTTGCGACGGTTTTTGGCACGAGGCTTCGCTGGGGACGAGGCTAGATCCGGATGGTATTTGCGGTAGTGCTTAAGCCGCGCATCAGTCCGGTTGAACTTCAGCCCGCAATTGGCATCCTGGCATGGATAGCTGACACCCTGGTCACGGTGTTTCAACCGGATGTGCCTCTGCCAGCTACCCCTGCAATATTTTCCGATAAAGTTGACCTTGCAAGGCTCGCAACGAAGTACGTCAGGCGTAGTAGAGCTTGTGCACGTGTGATTCCCTTGGCCCTCTGGGACCGCGAGGCAATCGTTCTCGCGTTCGAATCTACAGGCGTTAGTGACCACTGAAGAGGAACCATTTCAAGACTAACTTACGGTGGGTGATCTGGGTGAACGGGGAATGTTTGCTGATCTGGCAGCCCAGATGCTCCCATACCGGACACAAGAGCCGGCACGTCCGGTAAGCAATCACGAGTGGACTGCTGCTGTTCCCAAGCTGGGTTGTAATCCACAGCCTGATCCCCCTGGTGCTGGCCACGGATTGTTGCTACACTGCTCTCCAAATCTTCATTGAAAGATACTGAAGTAAGAGAGATGGAAAAACAAGCGCTCGAGCACGTGTCTTCAAACGCAGCACTGGTACCACTGCCATAAGCGTCTTCCAGAGATGGCATAATGCCGTCTTCCAGGGTCGGACTTAAGCGAGTGCTAAACC